ATGTGTCACCTCGCATATGCTCATACCTGACAGTTTAGGTGGAGTCCACTCCGGGTTTTCGGGGCCACAGTTAAGCAGGTGGGTCCGGACCAGAGTTTGGGCTCCACTGATGACCACCAACAGGTGATATAAAAAGGGCAGGGCTGGAGCAAGGGGTCACTCATGGCCTGGGACTCAGAGAGGTATTCTGAGAGAGCTGTGTGTGTACTATACCTACAAGAAAAGGTTTGCTTTTGTTTTGTTTTGGTGACAGGGAGAAGCCCTTCACCTTTGAGATAGGAAACGTCTTCTGTTTAGTTAGTGCCTGGATGGCAAGGGTTTATTTTGATGTTTTGTTTATTTTGATATTTTCTGCAAACCTTTTTAAATAAAACTGACAACCAGTCAGATTTTGACAAAAGCCTGCTGTGCGGTCTGCCTTTTTCCCAGGGAAGGAGATCCCCACCTGAGCTAACCCCACAATATATATATATATTGTATTGTATATATATATATATATACACTCTCCCAAAAAATTACATCGTATATAAATATCCTAATCAAGAAATATTACAATATAAATCTTGTATGCTTAACATGTATGAAATGGATTCTTACAATCCTAATTAGTGGAACTTTAGCTCCTACCCACAGAGATGGGGGGAGGAAAACTTCCTAGCCAATTAATGACTAATTACTACCACATGTTGCTAGAATATACAGAAAAAAAACAAGATATGTATCCACATACATATGTATTCACATAGACTATAAAAGTCTGTTTATCTTACTTTTCCCAATCTATAAGAATAGAAATATAACAACTCAACTATTCTATTAAGATCCAACACATTCATACATATGTTAGTAATGTTAATAAGCAGATATTAGGTTATGGAAGGCTTCTAACAGCGCCCTTCCTTTGGGAAGACTTGCTGGGTTTTGAAGTTAAAGCCTAGGGAGAACTGTTAGGTGAGCTGCGTTTTGACGAGGTATAGGCTCCTGCGTAGAGGGGTTTTGGGGTTTTCTGCTGTGGGAGTAAAACCTTCCCTCCTGTGATATCCTTGATGAACTGGTCAAGTGACTTTACAAATAAATGTATTTCTATGAAAAGGCATAGGTGTGAGGCACTTTTACAGGCAGCTTCAGCTGTCCAGGCTTTCAGTCACAAGATTCTGTGCATGTGAATGGAGATTAAAGCCATTCTGGAAATCGGTTTCATGACATGTCCTAGGGCAGGCATGTCCAAAGTCCGGCCCGCGGGCCATTTACGGCCCGGGGGTCAGTTTAATACGGCCCTCAAACAGCCCTCCCTGCTCTGTGTAATGTGGCCCTCCCACGGCCCTCCCTTCTATGGCAGACAGTCTTCTGCTTGAGAGCAGAGGGCAGTGCGCATGCCTGACTGCGGCGCGTTCTCCCTGGTCTGTGTAAATGCGGCTGTCGCACGGCCCTCTCTTCTGTGGAAGACAGTCTTCTGCTTGAGAGCAGTGCGCATGCGTGACTGCACCGCGCTGGGAGCGACAGAGGACGGTGACGTCAGGGCCGGGCTTCCAGCGTGAAGTGTGTTTCTCTTCCCCTCCCGGCTGCCGAGCAGAGACTTCAGCTCCAGCTACCTTTTTCACCCTTCACATTAGTGCAGGTAAGTTTTTTTCAAATTTATTTTCAATACATTGTGAAAACTCAGCTGTCAGTTGATCTTAATGTTATGAAATGAAAAGTATGTTGTTTGCAATTAACTTGGCATAAAATAATTTATTTGCATTTAATTGTAATGGTTCAAAGAATGTTCGGAAAAATGTTCGGCCCTCCACCATGTTCACTTCATCCAATCTGGCCCTCTTTGAAAAAAGTTTGGACACCCCTGTCCTAGGGAATTCACACAAAACAGCAGAGCAGATGGTAGCTGCTGTAATTTCCCTGTTAATTCATGATCCTGTTAAAAAAATTATTACGTTGCTTGTTCATTGCCCTTGTCCAGTTAGCTGCATTTTTACTTACTAAAATTGAGGTGACAGCTGGCTTCAAGGCTGGACCTGCAGGTGTAAAGAGAGCCTTTAGGATCATCTCAAACTTTCTATCCCCAATATCCATGAAAGAAGGAATATCTTCATCCCTGTTCAATATACTGGAAACCTTAAGTGGAGAAAAATCTTTCGCAGTTTCTCCAATACTACTGAAATGTCCTCTTCCTGCCACGTCTAAGGCACACATGGTGGCGTTTTTGAACTCAGAGCAATAGTGACTGTATTAAGGATGTAATTTGTCGAAGGAATTGTGACACAGATAAATTGAGTGTTGTGCAGACATTCAGCAGAGCAAAGGTTTGACTGAGGTTTGGCAATGGCTCCCTTTCACCTGAGCTACGTTTGAGGGAAATCCCCTGTGGGGTATTCACACAGTAGTAGAGATGTGGAATATAGGGTAAGCATGCCCTGAAGCAGAACACAGCAACCCAGATGCAGAACTCATGGCGAAAGGGTGGGAGGAAGTGCCTGAATATCTTATAATGGCTTTAGGCAGAGGTGGCAGTAAAATGTGCAACCTGTGTTATGCACGCAGTCATCCACCCAAGACTAAACTCTGAGTGATTGAGTTCTAGAACCAAATTTGAAAAGCTGATACTGTATTGAATATCATAGGAATATAGGCTCTGTCTTTTACAGTAATGGTTAAACACATACAAGGTGACCCTGAACTACCTGTCTACAACACTAGACTATATTTAAAGTCTAGCAGTCATCCTGGGGACCCCAAAAGGGTCTTCAGGGACTGGGTTCCATAATGATGGACCACAGCCCTGGACCTGTATAGTACCGTGGCTGACAACAAACCTGCCAAGTTAAGGGCTAAGTGCCAATGTGAACACCTGTGCAGCGACAAGTGCTTGAAGCAACATTACAGGCAGCCCCCACAGAGTGGGATCTGGCTATGGCTCCCAAAGTTTACAGAGGTTGCACTGATCCGGATGCACTGTTTCTATTTAGGCAATTAGATGGCAAGGAGGAATGGTCTGAAAAATATAAAATAATAAAGAAAAATAAAATAAAGTGGTTAAAGCTAAGCGTGATTTATCCCTGAAGAAGAGGCCCATTATGTTAGTACACTAGCAAAAAGTTGATGACTCACAGAGTAAGGTAGGGTTATAGTGCAGGCACCCAGTGGACATTCCTTGAAAGCTTTACAAGTATACAATCAACTGAAGGAAGGAGACTATAAACCAGGGTCTATCAATAACACAGGCCAATACACACAAGTGCCTTGACCTGTCCTGGGTATATTTTACCTGCTAATTCCAAAAACTGCAACAATTTTTCCCTATCAGCTCTAATATTTGAAACACAGCATACACTCTTCACTCTAGTTGCCTGTCAAAAAAAACAGGAATTTTACTGCAGTGTTTTTATTTAATCTCCTTGTAGCATGAAATAAACACATTAAAAAGTAGCCATAACCTCTACAGTGTTCAATCCACAAACATGAAACTATATGAGTGGCAATACACACACCTACTATATTATATAGCTATAATACAGTTAATAACTATCAGTTTAGAATCTAATATTTCTGATGTAAAATTACAGTTGGAAGTACGTAAACACTCACTATATCTCCTAACTTGTATGCAAAAACACAAACTAAGCAACAGAAGAACAAGCTGATCAGCAAAATCTTTTTAAAAACTGACATAAACGTTATAGCAGTTCGACCATATCTATGAAACTGGAGCTGATGCAGTATAACCAATGCAATTTTCTGAATCAGAGCCCCAAATAACCATAAGAACAGGTCCAAAATGCAAGGCATCAAGAAAAATGATTTTTGATTTTTTTTTTGTGGGCTGTGTAATTTCTCCTGTACTGTACAATTAAGATATATAATGTTTTGTTAAATCAGAGCTCTTGGTCCTCTTAATTGTTCTAGGTATGTGACTAAGTGCTGAACCCATAGTATAATAAAAGTGTGGAATCTAGCCTTTTAAGAAAGAGGCTGTCAATGACAGCCTAGTTTCCTGTATAAGAGAACATATAGTGTATTTTTAGTGAGAAAATATTTTGAGTTATTAGTACAGTGTTTACCTTGCAATGTAAAGCTAAAATTATTAAAAGGTGAGAAGTTACAACCCCTGTCAGGTTTTTTTGTTGCTGTTGTTTCCTAGCTAGGGAGATGCAATCTCTCCTTTTGCCTCTTTGCTCCTTCCCCAGCTATGCGTGAGGAGAGCCGGTAAGCGGCATTCCTCAGAGGGGACATCTACACTGATCATCAGGGCACTGATGATCAGTGCAGCCCCATCAGTACCACCTGTCAGTGCCCATCAATGCCACATACCAGTGCCCATCAATGCCACATACCAATGCCTACCAGTGCCCATCAGTGTTGCCTTTCTGTGCCGCCCATCAGCACCACCTATCAGTGCCGCCTAACAGTTCCAATCAGTGCCGCCTAACAGTTCCAATCAGTGCCGCCTAACAGTGCCAGTCAGTGCCGCCTAACAGTGCCAGTCAGTGCCGCCTATCAGTGCCCATCAGTGATGCTTGGCAATGCCTACCAGTGTTCTCATCAGTGCCCATCATTATAGCCTCATTACTGCACATCATTGAAGGAGAAAAATTACTTATTTACAAAATTTTAGAACAAAAACTAAGAAAAAAAACTTTTTTCCCCCAAAAATTTTCAGTCTTTTTTAGTTTGTTTAGCAAACAATATAAAAAAAAAAAAAACAGTGGTGATTAAATACCACCAAAAGAAAGCTCCATCTGTCTAAAAATAAATGATAATTTTGTTTGGTCCAGCGTTGCATGATCATGCAATTGTCATTCAAAGTGCGACAGCGCTGAAAGCTGAAAATTGGCATGGGCAGGAAGGGGGTAAAAGTGTACATTCAGCACCTCTTCCGCTGGGGTTCTCCCGGACATATGACTGGCAAAACTAGTCTAACTCTTTTGCTGCTTGCACAGGGTGTTTTAATCCTTGCTGCAAACGCAGTATGTTAAACAATAATTAATTATAAATTAAGAACTTACTTTATTTTACTGGTCAATATTTTTCCTGCATGTTGCACCCCTGTAAGAGCAATGTACAGCCGCAGAATTTCATTTGTCCCCTACAAAAAAAAAATAAAAAATTAAATATCCATTAAATGTCCCAGTCATTTACAAAAAAAAAAAAAAACTTCATCTTGTATTCTACAAAGGTTACAAATATAATTAGTAAGCTATCTGGCAGATTGTCAGTGAAGAGTTAAAAGCAATCTGTCGACAGGCAAGCAAATGCACTGAACATAATTAAACCTGAAGATCCTGAACACTAATGCGATGGGTTGTTTTAGCAGATCTAGCAGGAAAATGATCTAAGTTTAGGACAGCTGAACGGAAATATAGAAATGGCCACATTCTCAGCTTCACACAACTTAAAGATCAGAGGAGTACTGCAAAACTGACTAAGCAGCACAGCCTTGAATACGGTGTAAGAATAGCATATTATTCCAAATAAGAGGAGACTGGCAGCAGCAATTTATCTATCACACAATAAATTATTTCTGTTTAAATGACTCTTCCATTGTTAATAAAGCCATTAGATTTCATACTGTATTCACAGATTTATTGAGGCAGTTTCCACAGCTTTATAACCATCTCATGAGTCCTATGTGTTCCTAATGAATAATGTCACTATCTGCAGGAGCTGTGCTAGTCCCTAAACTTTGAAGTGACCTGTTTTATTATAGGCTATATAGTTTATTTAAAATCATCTTACTGCATGACAAACGAATAGGTTTATATTATCTGTGGACTGAAATAAAATCTTGCACTGGAATGTCTTTTGACATGCAATGAGCTGTAAAGTAACTTCTACATAATCTATGAAGAAAGGATGAAGCGTCTGTCAATGTGAACCTAAGATTTGATCAACCAGCTGTTATTAGCAGTATAGTACTTGACGTACTCTTATCAGACACTGAATTAGGCAAAGTATAATTTATAATCAACGTTCATAATATAATTAAAGTCTGGTCTGTACTGAAGTGCTGACCTACTGCACATCTTTAGCACGAATAGCTGAATGGACAGACATTACTTTTGAGTGAATATAAAGCAAAGATATTCTTGCTTTCTGAAAAGTTGCAAAAAGGAGCTGCATATGCTATACTACAAAGCAGTATATAAAGCAGTCTGCTATAAAAGAGAAGTATGGGCTTTAAAAAAAGAAACACAAAAAACCCCATTATACTCACCTAGGTGGATGCAGCATTGATCAAATGCTGCATCTGTCCCCCACCAGCTCTGCAGGGAGAACTGAGCTATCAAAGATCACTGATCACTCAGTTCTCCCCCTCCACTCTGAGCCAAGAGCTGTGACTGTCAGTCTTTTGGTAGATCACTGAGAGGCTGAGCCAGCTGCCGGTCCGGGCTTCTGGGTGAATCCCGACCATATGGACCGGCCCGCTGTTGGCCGAAAATGGGTCAAAAAGAGTGATTGCAAGAACTGCACTCCTGACATCCATAGGAGACGTACAGCCAAAATAGCTTTGGCTATACCTCTTTAATCAATTTGAAATTTAAATTAGAATTTAATGAACATTTAAATTTAGGTTTATTTAAAAAAAAAAATGTAAGCACCTGGTGGGGGCCATCTACGTTAGGTAGTTAAAGATGAAGGGCTGGTGGTGTTTTGTTTTTTGTTAAACCCCAACTTGTGCTTTGAGGCCAACATTTCTAAATGTTACAATTACATATTTAAATCTAAAACAAAGCATTTTTTCTTTCCTAATACACAAGACTAGAATTACAGTTCCTGAGATATATAGATGCAACAGTTGGGGTTTATAGAAAACTTGCCTCAAAGATGAGAAGAATACGACTGTCTCGAAGATAACGCTCATATGGATAATCCTTCATATAACCCAGACCTCCAAGAATCTGCAAGGCTTCATTGACACATTGCCAAGCACCTTCAGAGCTGAACACCTGATACAATAAAAGCCTTTACCTTATTAAACAGTAACTGCAGCATGGAGCAAAGATATCCTTCATACCTTTTACAGCATATTTGAAAAGATATTGTTATGCCCCACCTCTGACACAAAGCAATGCCCCCCATCCACATACTAGCCAAGTCACATCCCGCATTAGTAAGCACCATTTATTGTACATATTGCCAACCAAAAGGGATTAGAAGGTGGAAAAGAATAGTGGCTTCTGGCAGTGCAAAATACATAACAAAATCGAATGGTTCTATACACGTCTTTTTGTACTGCCACTGTAACAGACAGTGTGGCGGTACAGGACAAAAAATGTTGCCATAACTCTCATAGGAGGTCCCTGCATGCATAATACATTACCATTTAAGGTTACTAAAATAAATCTTCAAAATAAAATGCTTCCTGCAAAAAAGACAAGGAGTGCTCACCTCTCCTGCTTACCATGTTGAGAAGAGCAACCGCTGGCTGAATATCCTGCAAAATCCGACACTCATGGGAGCGTTCATTTCCTTGTCCCCTGCCACTCATCATTATTCCTCTGAACTAGCCCTTATACTACTGGCGCAGATGTAAGAGACTGGCAGATCAAAATAAAGATGAAGGGGTGCAAAATGCACATACAATACTATACCACAATAGAATGGTCCCAGTCCAAAGGAGCCCTAAAGCTCCCTAAAAGCTATTAACCCCAGAAGCTTTAATATGCAAAAAACAACTTTAGTTCCCAAAGTTGCCGTTGACTTCTGCCTTTTTCTGTGGATTACAGCTGGACCATCCTCATTATGGACAGCCTCACTGACAAATTAGTATATAAAGTAAAATCAATATTTGCATATTAAAGCTACCCGTGTTATATACTTCATGAACTAAAACTGCCTGAATTTCATGATGTCAACCAGATTTACATGCAAATATTCTGGCCAACCAAAAAATTTCCATTTGCAGATTTACATATAACAGGGTCTAAAAAATGATACGCATGGTGTACTCCGTAAACTAAAGCAGCATTCCAGGCATTATATGAATTTGTATAATAAAATTAAAAGAATTACTTTACCTTAACCATAGCAGCTTCCATAGAGCAATCTGGAAACCCTGGCCTGTCCATCATGCCAGCAGTAAGGTAAGCCATGCTTTCCATGACATAGACTTTCTTAGCCATGAGAGCAAATTTATCCTAGAGAATAACAGCTTTTTAGTTATTTTTTTTATACCTATAAAAATTGTCAGCATATACATATAGCAGTTTTTAGTCTCTCTGCTCTGCCCAAATGCCAGCCATTTGATTTGGCAAAGCTCTGTTACGTCTTTGTAGATTTAAAACTTACCTGCTACTTCTCTTACTGGCCCCCATCACTATGGTGCACTGCCCCTTTTGGTCAATAGCAATGTGTGGGAGGCGAAAGGGCATGAGACACAAATAAGCAGTGCCAAGCTTTGTCTGATTTTTTTTTTTTGTTAAAGTGACAGTCACTTGTTAATTGAAGGGTATGGTGAATTACATGTTGCCTTCTTATATCTATATATCTACCCAGTACACCAGTGATTAGATCCTCCACTAAAATTCCCAGTTCGGCACAAATGTTCAGCTCTAAGATTCAGCCCAATATGGTTGAAATGTGTTAGAGAAGTGTTGCCACAGGCGGAAACTGCCAGTAAGCCAGTCTGGTGGAACAAAATTTAATGCAGTGTGATGTTATCAGTGTGCAGAATTCTTGGGAGGTTTGCAGTGGAACTGTAAGTGAAGATAGGATTCTTGGGCCGACACCTGTTTCAACAATGAGTGAAGAGGGAGAATGGAAATTGGAGTATCACTTGCTTTCAGGATTGCCAAATGCCCAGACATTACAAAGCTGAATAATGTGCATCTTGTTATCTTGTCTTTGGAGTGATAGACCTCAGTGGTGTCTATTTAAAATGGTAATACATTTTGCTGAAGTTGAGCTTTAGAAGAATTCTTTATTCATGTACTCATTTCCCTTGTTCTCATCTAAGCTGTCAAGTCATTCCTTGACAACATATTTCCATGTCATAACTGGCAGTGTTGTCATCTGAACTTCTGGGTTGCTCATTAGCTGAGCCAGCTAGACACACAGCAATAAAGAGTTTAGAAGTCCAAGCACCGTGAAATGAGTATTCTGGAAAAACTACTGGCAAACAAATACACCTTGGTGGTCAAACTCTAAAGCACAATCCCTCTTAATTCTCTAGAATTGAAAATAGTATTGTAGATATATGCAAAAACAATGCTTCTCAATGTGGTTTCCTGATTACTCACAGAAATCTTATTGTCTTCTTACCTGAATTAATTCAAAGTCACTCAACTTCTTATTGAACTGTTTCCTTGTGCAGGCATATTCCGCTGTCATCTCTATTTACAAAACAGATTAAAGTCAGGTTAAACAACTGAATAATATGCAGATTCTTCAGCAAGATCTCCTTCATAATGCACAAAGTCCTACGCTCCTGAACCTCTCTTCTGTATTTCTAATTAGCGATTTGCAAATCTCATAAACCCATTATTTATTAACAATAGAAAAGCGTACAACTGGATTTTTTCTACATACCTGCAGGCCCAGGCATTTTAGACTGGGGGGTACTAGGGCATTCGCGGGGGCAGTTGGTGACGGAATATTCACGGAGACTGTCCTCCGCACTGTAATATGAATATGTATTGATTGCAGTGCCCCTTTACAGAGCAGTGCCACTAGAAATCTAATCACAGTGCCCCATATATATTCAAAGAGATGGCCTAATCCAGCAAAATAGACATCCCCATCCAGCAAAGAGACAGGATGTCTCTTTGCTGGAGAGGAATGTCCCTTCTTGGACTGGGCTGTCTCTTTGCTGGACCCAACTGAGCAAAGAGATAGTCCAGTAAAGAGACATCCCCATCCAGCAAAGAGACAGCCCAATCCACCACCGCTACAGACCTGTCACAGTGTGCCCGCCAGAAGAAGAGAGGCCGCTGTTGTCCCTTCAGTGTGGCTGTGTGCAGCGGCCAGCCGAGGAGATGTCTGTGTGTCCTCGGCAGCCGCTTCCTGCGCTTCACTGGAGCCTTCTCTGCTACTCCTCCTGTCGGTCCTGCTTTAGGCATAGCCGCACAGCGGAAGGTGAGCAGCGGCCGCGGTCTGTGTTAGCTCTGTCCAGGCCGCGGTCACTGCTTACCTCCTGCTGTTTGGCCAGTCATCAACAGGCCACTCTTCTAAAGCCCGGTGGCCCCGGCTGTACTCCAAGAAATGGATTTTACAGGTAAGTATGCAGTAAAAAATCCAGTTTTCTTTATCATACATCACAGGACACAAAGCAGGTTATTCATGACTATGTGGGATGTCCCAAAGCAAAAAAGAAATTTAAGGGGAGGGTGACACCATGATAGCCACCATCAATAATCCCTCAGGACCTACCCAGCCTTCCGTAAAACACTGCAGCCAAAGGCAGAATCCTCTGCAGCTCTGACATCCACCTGGTAGAACCTTGTGGATGTGTGAACCGAAGACCATGTAGCAGCCTTGAAAACCTGAACCACTGACACTAGATTGTCCAAGATACCCCCACACTCCTGGTAGAGTGTGCCTTCACCTGAAAGGGTGAAACGTAGTAATGCACTGAAACAGAGGCCGAAAATAGCCCTATCAGCATTTTGTCAATAGGAAAAATTTAGCCGATACAGGTGACGATGCAGGGGACTACGTGTACTGCAGATGTGAGGGGGGCGGCGGAGAAAGGCAGGAGTGGAGCAGTGTATACAGTGACTGGCTAGCACTATATGTCCATGCAGGTTTTTTTAATGTAATTACCAGATTTTTGTTTTCTTCACTATAGTTCAGAGAATGACCTGTCACTTTCCCCAAGTTAAAAGAAACAAAGTTTATTTTTAGTTTCTTTCCCCTGAGCTATAAGAAACAAAGTTTTTCTCTGAGCTATAGTGAATTAAAAAAAAGCCGGCAATTGCATTTAAAAACCAACACTGACATATAGTGACAGCCAGTGAGGGAGCCCTGCTGTATACACTGCTCCCTCGCTGTATACACTGCTCCTCTTCTGCCCCCTCCCTGCACACACTGCCCCCCCACCCCCCCTCGCCCCTACAAAGAAGGTCTGTCACTCATATGCTATCACATAGGGGACTATTGGCCCCCTATGTGATAGCAATAAAATCATAAGTTAAAAAAATAAATAGAAATATACATGAAAGTAGAAAAAACAAAATACAAAAATAATTTGAGCCTCCCCACCCCCACATACGCAGACATTTTGGTTTGGTTTTCAGCCACATGCAGTCTGAATTTTTGGTATCTGTTTCGGCACCAGAATTTTCATTTCAGTGCACCACTAGTGGAACCTTACCTTTCAAACCACAGGCTTGAATGATCAATTGGCAGATGTGAAATAGCCGCCTTGGATGCTGCCTGCCCCTTCCTAGGCCCCACTGGCAGCAGAAACAGGGCATCTGACCTCCTGACCTGTGCCAGCACCTTCAAGAAGACCCTTACAACGCAAGCGCCACATCCACAGTATGCAGAGATCTTTCTCTTGCTGACTAAATCCTAGGAAAGAATGAAGACAGAACGATGTCCTGAATGAGATGAAAACTAGCAACCGCCTTTGGTAAAAGTTGAGGTCATAACACCAGCTTATCATGATTCAAAACCAGAAACGGTTCTCTGCTAGAAAGAGCTGCCAGCTCTAACACCCCTCTTGCAGAAGTGATTGCCATTAGAAACTAAACCTTACAAGTCAAGAGGACCAGTGTAATCTCTCTAATATGTTCATATGGTGGCTTTTGCAAAACCTCCAAAACCAAGTTCAGGTCCCAAGGAGAGACTACCTTTCTAGCCCCCAACATAATGGGGGTGACAAATCCAATACTACATTATCCTTTAGGATCTGGGTTTTAATAGCCACGCGGACAAATTTAGCGGCCGTAAGGCTGGGTGCAATATAGGACCCTGAGACAGCAAGTCTGAACGACACGGCAGGGGCTATGGCCCGTCTACTGCCATCTTCACTATGTCCGCGGACCAGGCCAACAAGGCCAGTCAATCAGTATCACCGAAATAGACTCCTCCCAGATCCTGCGTAAGAGATGTGGCAGCAGCTGAATTGGAGGAAAGGCATAAATAAGTGAAAACTGGTCCCAAGGAATCACAAAAAGATCGACCTTGCTGTTGAACCTGGATGCCAATAGATCTATGTCTGGGCAACCCCATTGCTGGCAGATTGCCTTGAAAACGTCGGGATACAAAGCCGATTCTCCTGGAATCAACCGTCGGCAACTGAGAATCTGCCTGCCAATTTTCCACCCCTTAAATGAACACCGCTGAAAAACTTGGAACATATCTCTCTGCCCAGGTCAGAATGTAATTCTCCTCCTCCTGAGCCCCTGGACTCCTGGTACCGCTCTGGTGGTTGATATATGCTGTGGCATTGTTGGACTGCATCCTTACAGGCTAACCCTGAAGCCTGGATGTCCATTACCTCAGAGCCAGTCTCACTGCCCCAAGTTCCAGCACATTGATGGGTAGAACCCTTTCCCTTGGAAGCCATGTTCCCTGCACTGTGGCCTCCACCAGGACAGCCCACCCCAACCTGAGAGGCTGGCATCGGTGATTACCAATTTTCACACCACTGGCCGAAAGGATCTCCCTCTCTCCAAACTGTGAGGCATCAACCACCAATTCAGGCTTTGCAGTACCTCTGGAGACAGGGACATACAGTAATCCAGGGACATATCCTCCTTGTTTCAGTCAGAATGTTCCTCTGCAGCTGTCTGGAGTGGAACTGGGCATAAGGAATAGCTTTGAACTAGGACACCATCTTCCCCAGCAACCTCATACAGAGATGAATTGAAGGCTACCTCTTGGCTTTTAGACTGCAAACATCATTCCTCAGAGAGCAACGTTTTCCTGGAGGCAGAAATACCTTTGCCTGAACTGTGTCTAGGACCATCCCCAAATACTCCAGGCTCTGTACTGGTTCCAGGGTCGAAAATTCTTGAAGTTGAGCACCAGCCAAGCTGTTCCAGGATCTACATCGTAAGAACCACATCCTGCTTCAGACCTGGCACCGACCAACCTCTGAGCAACAGATCATCTAGATAACCAATGACCGATACCCCCCAAGTTCTGAGCAGCCCCAACACCGGAGCAAGAATTTTTGTGAGAACTCTGGGAGCCATGGCCAGCCCAAACGGTAGTATTATGAACTGGAAATGCTGAGCCCCTACTGTAAACCGCAGTGAGGAAAGAATATCAACATATATAGGAATGCGTCCTTGATGTCTATAGACACTAAAAAATCTCCTTCCTGTAAAGAGGCCACTACTGACCAAATCGATTCCACTGTTCAACAAATTTTTATTTTTTGCCAGTTTTGGAAACAAAAGGATCCATTTCTTAATGAATTTCACATTCTGAGTTCAAATATAACAATGAAATTTGGCAATTGGCTCTAGTTTTTTCTGTAAACGGAAAGTTTTCTACTATAGGCGTAATGACTACATAATGCACAATAATTATATAGATAGATGTCTTTCCACAAATATAAAGCAAGTGATATTGACTACATAACAAAGCCTAAATGGCATAATATATTGCATAGGATTACCAAGAAAAATTATAGCCATAAGCTAAGTTGAATCATTTTAATACTTAGGATTCTCACTAGTTTTGTCTTCAGTTTGTGTCGGTTTTGCTTCTCTTGGCTTTTCTCTTGTATTCGAGGAAAGGGCTATCTCTTACAACTGCACGTGACTACACGCTTCAGGTTCTTCCTCACTTGACTCAACCACGAAGGATTCTGGTGCTTTAGGAATTGGTAGCCCCTCTCCATGAGGAACTGGACGTATTGCCGATGGAATATTTGGATAGTGCACAGATAACTTTTTCTTCTTATTTAGCCCTTTTACAATTGGAGGCACCATACAAAAGTAACAATTACTAACATGATCTGTTGGCTCTTTCCAAATCATTGGCACAGCGAAAGGCATAGATGCCTTTTTTCCATTCAACCATTGCTCCAGTGCCGTCCCACAAGAATTGCAGCATATATGTGGTGCCTAGCTCTTGTCCTGGTCTTCTATCTTGCAGCCAAAATACAAGTTGTAGGCTTTCTTAATCATTCCTGTTATCCTCCTTTTTTGTGAGATAAAAGTTATTTCACTGCAGATATAGCAGAAATTATCTACTTTATTCACACAAGTTCGAGGCATTACTGAGTAGCCTATATAAGCATAAAACGAAATGTAAAGACGCTGTCGAACTACAATCAGCTACAGATACTGCAGCTTTTATGCAGTGAAGTGATGCAATTAAAGGCTAATATTGCATCATCTCAGTATACATGCAATTTTCTATTGGTCACCAGTAT